CTGTGGCCTCTTAGTGAAGTCATTGACTTGCCCACGAACACTCGTACCGCTTCACTCAGCTGACCACTAACAGCAGCCGAGTCGTCGTCGACATACACGAAGAGTGAATACGGGGTGGTCCTGACGAGCCCACAACCACTGAAGGTGACCGAAGTGATATGGTTGGGCCAATGACCCGTGGTCCCAATCGCCACTGCGGTAGCCTCACAGCTTGCTGCTGTCGTGGTCGCATACGCCTTAGGACTGGCCCTGATGGACCCAGCGTCAACACGACTAGCATTGGTCTCGTGGACCACATAGGCCCAATACTTCCCAACCGCCGCAGGTGTGAATTCAAAGGTAAACCCGTCCGACGTAGCGATGCCAACAACCCGTGGCCCAACGATAAAGCTGTTGGCGACCTCCACCGAGAAATCAAGTCGGTCCATCTCGCCGTCCAAGTCCAGCGTGCCTTCCTCTATATAGGTCAACAACGTATACTCAGTACCACTGCGGAGATCACAACCCGACAACACCACCTCTACCACCACCAGCGAGGTACAGCTCTGGTCGAACCGCATACAGCTACCGACGTGACCAGTCGCCGACCCCCAGGACCGCATCCCCAGTGGGCCCATTCTGCTAGCATTGGTCTTGGTCACGATCTGCATCCAGTACCGTCCCGTTTCCACACAGGCGAACTCGACGTAGACCCCGTCCGAGACCGCCGGTCTGAGCAGCTTAGGCCGGACATGGAACATGTTGGACCGGTCAACAGTGAAGTCGTTGGACCACCCAATTGTGCCAGCTGTCCCCTTGGCCTCCCCCGACAAATAGACCACCACACTGTATCGACCACCAAATTCAGCAGTGCAGTTGTGCAGTTCCCACACCGTATAGCTACCATTGTACACCGCCTCTGGTCCCCGCGTGCAGTTGTTATCCGCTTGGGCCCCAGCCAAAGGGTTGCTCCTCTCGCTAAAGGCCATAGTCCCCGACGCTGTGAGGACTGGCAGCTTGTGGGTCGCGACCACCATCGCCCAAGCATACCCCGACCGAGCCGCCCAGAAACGCACCGTGGTCGAGTTAAAACCAGCGTCCATAGAAGCGTTCACTTGCGGTAGTCTTATGAAGTAGTTATTGGTCCCCGGTGCCACCGTGAAGACCAACGGTTCAGCGACTTCACCCAGTGTGTCACCGACGGTCCCAGAGACGTAGACCAAGAGCTTATACTGCTGACCATGGACCAAACCACAGTCTCTCATAGTAAAGGACCTCTCCACCTCGCCTACTATACCAGACCGTTCAATCCTACACTGTGATCCGCCAGCAGCAGCCGAACCAGTCATGATCGTATCACGACTGACCACGGTCTGACCATCCCATATCACAGCCCACACGTACCCCGATCGGACCACCCTGGCGCCCAAGGTGACCACATCCCCATCAGGTGTAGCAGCAATGAAAGGGCTACCCTCATAGAAGTAATTCCCCGTCGTGTTGGCGACCACAGCCTGACCAGTTATACCAATAACGGCCAGCTGACCGTCCAGACCGTCCCCACTGGTCCCGTCAATCACATATACCACCAGATAGAAGCTCTCATTCACATTCAATGAGCAGTTCCTGAGGGCCCTATAGGGCTGGTCCGGACCAATCGCCTCCCCGTTATAGTAACAGCCCGCGACCCCAACCCGACAGTCCAAGGCCTTGGCCGATGTGGCGGTTTGATTGTGGTGGCATCCCTCCGGGACTATGAACATCCACAGTCTCCCAACAGTCCCAACCCTGGTGTCCACATCGCACCCGTCAGCCGACACATTGTAGACAACAGGTGTGGCCCCCAGAAAGAAGTTGGAGCCTTTGGTGACAAAATCGATCTGCTCCAGACTGCCATCGTTCCCATCAAGGGTATCCTCCACATACAAGCTCAGCGTGTACCGCGCCCGCTCGCCCGACCACAGACCACACCCACTGAGAACGTTGAGACCACCACTGAGGTTGGTCCCCGCCGTGACGCTCACGCTCTGACTATAGCAGCCGGCCGAATACAGTGGTGGTACCGCCTTGATAGTAGCAGGGGTGATCAAGTCCCGGTCCTCCCTGAGGGTCACGACCATCCACAACAAGCCCGACTCGACCGTGGCGATCCCCTCTACCGTCACTGTGGTATTAGCCGGTGGACTCGGCCAGATGTACGGACCTGGCGGTCTGAGGAAGCTGTTGGACTGCGGCGTGCGGAAGTGTACTCCCGGCAACCACAGGGAACCATCACCGTACCCGTCAGCGCTCGCAACGTACACATACAGGGTATAGTCCTGGTCCCGAACCATCTGGCAAGCCGTCAGATAAGCCGTCTCGTTATCAGCCGAGGTCACCCCTCCCACAATACGGCACCCCATGCCTCCAGTCGCCCCCACGCCAGCCATAACATCAGCGATCGTCGGCACACCTGCAGTGTACTCCCGGACCATGGCCCAATACAGCCCAACCGACTCGGCTCTGAAGCTGAACCCAAACCCGCTCGTGGTTACTGGTGTCACCACCACTGGACGGTGAGCAAACTTGTTGGACGTACCAGCCACCACCGTGAACGGTTCCGTGAAGGCCAGCCGACCGTCGTAGAGTCCATCCTGCGATTCCACGTAAACGCTCGCGACGTACTCGGCCGAATGTTCCAATGAGCAGCTGGTCAGCGTAACCTCAGTCAAATTCGTCACCAAAACTCCGCTCCGCCTGCATTCCGTACCATGACCAACACCATATGTAGCATTCTTCACATTAGATATGGACACCAAACCCACCGCGCTCGCCCGAATGATCGATATCCATGCCTGACCAGTCCATGCTTCGAGGTCAGGACCACCTCCCCTTAACCACACTGGATCAGTGGGAGCAGCTGTGAACCTCACCGTGACACCATCACGCGTTGCTGAGCTCGAGACCATCGGACCAACGACGAAACCGAACGACGCCTCCGGCACGACCACTTCGACCGCCGAGGCCAGCGTCCCGTCCGACAGACCATAGGCGTCCTCGACATACACGAAGAGGTCGTATGCTTTGCCTCTCTCAAGACTGCAGTTGAATATAACATATAAGAGAGTGGTATCGATGGTCATGTTATGGTACCGACAGCCCGGACCGCCCACGGCCAAGGTCCCAGCCTTGACAGTATCAACACTGACGGCTGAGCTGTCTACTCTATTCACCACAGACGCGTACATAAAACCAGTCGTAGCGTTGGCCTGAAAGCTCAGCCGCAGTTCCCGCTCGGTCGGAGGGTTGTGGAGGTACGGCAACGACACGAACGTATTGGAAGGGCCAAGGACGAACGTCACTGACGGTGACACGGTACCGTCACCCAAGTCGAGAAAATCCTCAACATACACAAAGACTGCATATCTGTTGCCTCGAGCCAACGAACAGCCTGTGATAGTGAGCACACTAGTGGTTCCGCCAGAGACCACCAACCCGACCACACCGCACTCAACCGGCTCCTGTGGGCCAAGTTCTTGTCGCTTCACCTGGTCCAATGACACGCACGTCGAAGATTCTTCCGGGATCACCGCCGCCCACAATCTCCCATTAGTCGCCGTTGTGTAATTCAGTTCGATCCGAGCAACCGTGGGAAAGTTTATAATATTCGGGTTGACCAAAAAGTAGTTGGACGTGTTTCCCGACATAATACGAAGTGACATAGGCCTCGACAGAGTCCCATCACCATAGCCCCGACCATCCTCCACATACACTGCGGCCCAGTAGGCCACTCCTGCCGACAAACCACAGCTTCTCAACGTCACTATAACATCAACAGCCGCATTGACTGCCTGACCGGTGAGCCCACACAAGGCGTCTTGTAACAGTTTAATACTGCCTATGGTCTTGAGACTACCAACGTCCCCACCATTGACGACCGAGACCCAGTACTTCCCCGTAGTGGTCGGGGTAAATGCCAACTGGACCAAGTCGGACCGCGGCGTAGAGTAGACCCTCGGACCACGATAGCGACTTGTTTCAAAATCGTTACTAGCTGGTGCTGTGAACTTCAGAGGACCACTCAAGCTACCGTCGTTGCGGCCCAGAACGTCCTCGATGTACACGAAGAGAACATAAGTTGCCGACCCATTCAAATTGCAGTTCGTGATAATCTTGTTGGTCACATTCTGAACCACCCAAATGCCGTCCTCCGTCGTCCCACACTGACCATGTCGTTTGTAACCAACCTTCGCAGCAGTAGCGTTGACATAGAGCATGTCATGCTCGGACACCACCTGAGATGGGCGGCCACCCTACTAAGATCCACTCTAAAGCAGATGTGACAAAAAGACGGTATGAAAACTATAACTCCCAGTTTGGAAAAATGTGCACATAGGAAACCACACCCGTAGGATGATATGGAAATTTTGAGGAAATTCTTTGGAATTTTCGTTGGTTTTCGAACACTTCTACTCGAACTCACGTGTAAATTTCCATAATTAGTGGAGGAAACCGAACGTATATTCCAACACTGATGGCTTCACACAAGTCTCGACAAGCGAACCCTCACCTGCATCCAGGCTCGGCCGCTACCAGCACTGGCCCCAAACCGGACCTCCACACTGTTCGTGGTAACACTGACAATCCTGGGCTCTTCCCAGAAGTGGCTCGAGATCCTCATAGGGACCGGCACAGGGATGCCACTCCATAAGGCCCCATCGCCGTCCCCACCGTCCATGCCCTCGAGATAGACATGGGCCCAGTACTGCTCTCCAGGCTTCATCCCACACTGATGAACTGTTAAACGAGTGACCTGGCCGCCGGTCAACTGTCGCTTTGAAACTCTGCAGGACTCCTGAAAATCGCTGCTCCCAGCACATGGCTGATCCCCTCGCCCACCTGCGGCCAAGTTGGATGTTTGTTTCGACCGTAGACGACATCAAAGGCCGTCAGTGTGTCCTGAGCTGCTGTGCTCAGCTGCAACCATACAAAGCCGTCCTCAGCAGGAATAATGTCCAGAGAGACAGTGTGGGAGCTAATCAGGCCTACACCGAAGCACCCGGGTTCAGTTCCCGGTAAGGGCGATTCTATATACCTCACCAGCAAAAACAGGAGATCTCTCGAAGGCGTTGCTGATAGGATAGACTAGTTGCGCATCGCGATACACTCGGTAACCCAACACGGCCGAGCCGCAATCGTCGCTTACTGGTGGCCACGTAATCTGATACAAAAACCGTCAACTCACAGAGCGACGCATTCCACCTACGTCCAGTGTCCACGGGCTACCCGCAGTCTTGGTCGGAGCCGCTAAAGGAGCCACTGGTACACATCGCATCAGAGCTGTGAAGGCTGTCGAGTTAGGCCCCTGGCCACCACCATTAACAGCACCGACCTTCCATCGATAGTAGCTGCCATCCTGCAGGCCCGTCGCGGCATAGGCCGATTCTGTCCCCTCATAAGCCAAGGCGAACTCCCCACCCAGACTGCCATCGTCAATGTACAGCCTGTAAGAGCTGGCCCTCACAGCCTCCTCCCAATGCAGACTCATCAGCCCACGACTGCGTAGGTCCCTCACATCCAATGCCCCCATCTCCTCGTTGTAGTTGAGCCCAAGGCCAGTCGGGGCCCCCGGGGGCTCAACACAGATGAAGTCCACAGCCGTGGAGTTGGCCCCCCACCCAACCTGGGTATAGGCCGTCGCGGTGAGCTTGTACAACACGCCCTCTTCACATGGTAGAAGGACCACCGTAGTAGCCGGATCAATAATGCTACTATAAATCGTACAGGTACCATTGACAATGACCCTGTACCCCAGCAGGTAGGCCCCACCATCATCGACAGGCTGTTCCCACTCTACCCTGACCATCCCATCCCCCGCGCTGGTGCCCTTCAAGTTCAGCGGAGGCCCAGCCAGGTCGGCGGCCACACAGGAGATGGGCACTGTAAAGTTACCAGTACCGACAACATTCACAGCCGCAACTTTGATACGATAGCTCAAGCCTTGACTCAAGCCTGTGATGATCGTGACCAGGCCGGATTCCAACTGCGCTCGCCCGAAGCTGCCAACGTGACCATCATCAATATAGACATCGTAGTTCATCACAGCAGACCCTCCGTCATAAGAAGGGGCGGTCCACTTCAGGCTGCACGTGGTCCTTCCCGTTGCGGTCACTCCCACGCCGGTCGGCATACCAGGGACAGTGGCTGTGAACCCACTAACGTAGGTACTGTAGGGACCCCAGTCTGTCAAGGCCTGGTTCCGGGCTGCTATACGGTACACACACTGTGACCCTGACACGCCGGGCACCGCCGAATCGTTATAAAACACACTGGACCACGTCGAGTTGAGGACGGTGAACCCACTGCCACAGTCCCGCTCGACCTTGTAGTGCTCAATCCCAGCACAACCGGTATCAACAGGAGCCTCCCAGGCCACTTTGATATGGTCAGCAGAACTGCTGACCAGGACCAGCCCCTGTGGAGGCCCTGGTGGTACAGCTAGTTGGACAGACACACTAGGGCTTTCAGGACCGACACCTATGCTACTCTGAGCTGCCACCTGCGCCTTGTACACCAAACCGCACACCAAGGCAGTGCTGTTGTAGGTCCTGGTATTAGGGGACAGGGAGCCGTCAAAGACCAGAGTAGGTTCATCATTGTAGCCTTTGTTCACAAAGAGTTGGTATGAGACCATGCTCGCACCACCATAATAGACACTCGACAACGCGTCCCATTCCCACACGATGCTCTCCATGGTCGAGGACCTCCTCCGTAAGTTCAAAGGGGCAGCGATCGGGGGCTTTCCCACGAGTCGAGATACCAATGCACTCCACTCTCCCGTGATGTTGACCAAATTGACGCCTCGGACCCTGAACTGGTAGGTGACCCCTTCAGAAAGACCACACACTGTGGTGTTAAGCCAATTAGCCCCATAGGGCATCGACGCATCCGTCCAAGTAACGTTCAAAGCCTCAGCAGCGTAGTTGAGCTGATAGTAGTTCATGGGACTACCGCCATCATCACTACTAGGGTCCCACGTCACAGCCACACAGGTATTAGTATGATAATAAGTAGTCACATTGACCGGCGGCGATGGTCGATACGCCATAAGAGTGTACAGGATGGTCTTATTGCTCACCTCGGCCGAGGACTTGCCGACTATGTTAACGCCCAAGACGTAGGCCCTGTAGGTCCGGCCCAGCACGAGACCAGTTCTGAGGTAATATCTGGTATTAGGCTTATTGAAGCCATTATAGACCAGATTGAACGGCCCTCCAAGACCATCATCACCCCACAGCTCATACCCCTTGAACACCTCAACAGCCTCGCTGCCAACACCAGCAACTGTCCAGTCTAGGGCCGTCCAAATGTACCGGATAGTCCCAACGTCCATGATCTCTGCACTAAGGCCCTCGACCGGACCAGGAAGGTCCGCATTTCGCGTATAGAGGGCTAGACTATTAACAGACCAGTCTTCACAGTTCTTGGCCCGGACCATGAAAAGCCATGGGCCTCCAGCAGACGTGCAATTTCTACCAGTGATAGTGACAGAGGTAGTCAACGCTGTAGTCGCTGAGCCCGCAAGCTCAACCAGCTGAGTAGAGTACTCGTAGACAGCATATTTCTCTATCTCGCACCCGCCATCATCCTCCGGTGGAGCCCAGCCGAGCTCCAGCGTCTCCAAAGCACAGTCCGTAGACAAAACAAACGGCTTACCTGGGGGACCAGGATCGGCCACGGTCTTAAAGATGGCCACCTCGCTGAGCTCGCCCTCTCCGACCACATTAGTGGCGCTAACTTGAAACGCGTACTGTAGACCAGATTCTAAGCCGGTGAACTCTTTGTAGGTCGTCGGACCTTCATAAACGACCACCCGACTGCCACCGAGACCATCATCCATGTAAAGTGTGAACTTGAAGATATCGCTGCCTCCAGTATACGCGGGCTGTTGCCACACCACGTGTAGAGCACTACGACTGTGGTACACCACCTTTACTGAGTCTGGCTTCCCAGGTGGACTAGCCGCTATCAGAGTGGCTACCGCCGACCGCGGCGACTCCACCCCCTCGCTGTTCACCGCGATGGTCTGGTACCTATACACCCTACCACTCGACACGGTGGGGTCTTTGGCCTCAAACAGAGACGGACTGGTCAGCTCCGTGATGAGCACCGAGATCGATGTCGTAGTCGGAGGGTCGTCCCTATACAGTCGTAGGCTACTGATTGACGCGCCGCCATTGTCCGAAGGGATGTATGTATTGAGATGCACGAAGCTTGTTGACGAATTCTCTGCAACAAGACCGCATGTAAGGTCCAGCATTGAGCGGTAGTCCTACTCCAGGTTGGCGCCGGCGGAGCTGACGGTGGTCCAACTATGGTCTGATATATGGTATTAGTGCTCATCTTTCCCCCTCGACTGTTGTTAGCAGCAATGCGGAACCCACACCTATGCGCCCGCAACAGTCTATATAATTCCCCACAGACTCTTCAACTTACCTAGCGCCAGTCGTGAGACCAGTGTACTCATAAGAAGTCGCTGTCGCCAGTATCGCTGTATTAACAGGGACATCGACATCACCACCATTGCAATCGTCGCGGAATGCTGTGAAGCCCGTCAGTGGAAGATCCGCCGAGGAGACGCATGTCGTCGTGTTACCGATGGTACCTGTTGAAACATCTCAACAGGTCCAACCTGGTCTTCTCCCGGCCTCACAGGATATCCAACCAACCGTCAAACTCGTAATCGTGCTGAGGTGGCTCATGACCTGTATCGTGAAGTCCTCAGGAAGTCTTCCCGTCACGAAGGTCCCAATATCGGACCATTCCCCCGGCGTGGTGCAAGCGAGCGGACAAGGATAGCTGGCTAGCGTACTGTTCTGTGAACAAACACCATGGGCCCGAACCCGGACACGATAGTATTGCCCAGGGACGAGGCCGCTGATCACATAGGAAGGATCTAAGATCATACGGGTGACCTGCTCCACAAAGGCAGGCAAACTTACCAACGACGGTGCAAGACTTAACGCTGACGGCCGAGCTGCTTCCCATTAGAGCATCGTCATGCTCCAACTCCCACATCACTATGGGACCAGAGTTCGACGTACTCGGAGGAGTCCACTTTAGTGCTAACTCCACCGACGAGTTTCCCTCGGTATTTTTGTACATAGGGCGACCTAAGGACGCTCCGATCGGTCAGAGTTCGAGGAAGCCGTTACTAATACGGCGAGTCAGAAGGGGAAGTGCATAGTCAAGGTGAGCGACGATAGACGCGAACATTACCATGGAATAATCATTACGGGGAAGGCAGCAACATTGTACAATTACCTTGCGGCGACCGCCGAATACTTACCAGGTTTTCCATGAGGAACCCCAACATAGACGGCCACGCGGGGAGTCATCGCTCCTTCGCCTGCCACTGTTATCGCGGCTACAGCAACCCAGTAATAGCGCCCAGGAATCAGGTCTGAGGCCATACATCCTCCAAAAGGTTACCGACCATGACCGTGTCTCACCTGTCAAGTTGTACTCCAGCACGCTAGCTCTGTTCGCCCCGTCATACACAACATGCAGTGGTAAGCCGTCTAAGCCATGATTGGCATACACTCTATATCCCGTAATGGGGCATCCTCTGCTATCCACTAGGTTGAGTATAGGGAACCAACTAATGCCTATCACGGACGGACTCCACGCTGGTACAGTCCTCGAAACATTGCTAGGTGGACTTGGCGGTGCGCATGCGTACAGCGTCCGATGTCCGGAGGCATCTCCATCACAATCGCTGTACTCGGCCGTATTGCACGCAGTGAGGTCATTGACTGCGTTCTTAGCATAAACACGATAACGGTACCCATTTCCTGTCACCAACCCTGTAGTGTCAGTGTACTCCAGAATATTGGCGTACATGGCCGCGATATTCGTGAACGAGGAGGAACCGGCTACTGCTCGCTGGACCACATATCCCGTGATGGGCAACCCGACCAAGTCTCCCGGTGCAGACCATCTCAGAGTAATAGCAGTCATATTGCTACTCACGAGTTCGGGTGGATCGGGTCGATTAGGTCGCCTACCGCAAGGCTTGACGCAACAGTTCGTGGACTGTTCGCTCTCGCCCGCATCAGACAGAGCTGTAACGCGCATATCGTACCACTCACCCAGCGTGCAGTTCGTTAACGTGTACTCCACTGTCGCCGCATTGTCCGTCGCATCATACGCGAGCAGAGAGTTGACGTACACTCTATAGCCAGTAACAGTCGGTGGCGAACTCGGCATCGTCCACGAGATCGAGATGGAACTCTCAGTACTGCCCACAAAAGACGCATTTGGTGCCGCGTTGGGCGAGCCAGCCATGAGATCACTTTCTTGGCTATACGCCACTGACCCCACCGTAACGCCATTATCCGCGTATACACGATATCGATAGACCTCGTAGGAGCTGATGCCCGCCGTGTCCGTATAAGAGAGACCAGTCAAGTCAGTCGCCACTGTTGTCCAGGCTCCTCCCATCTGGGACCGCTCTAGAGTGTACCGTAAATTACTAGCCTTCCCACCATCATCAGTAACAGCATCCCATTCAACCAAGATGGACCCCGCACTGCTGATACCCTTCCGCGGTCGCCCTGGTCTTCCTGGTCTGCTAGCAGCATAAACTATGATGTCTTCAGACATTGGACCATCACCAGCCTGGTTCAGAGCTTGAACGCGGAACGTGTACAAATCGCCAGACGTCAGAGCAACCACCTCCTCAGCATCTGCCTGCAACGGGGCGTACTCGAAGGTGAAAACTGAGCTCTGACCCTGACCGTCGTAGACCAGCGTATCCACAGGTGTATTGTTTCCGCTATTCATCCATACCCTATAGCCAGACACGAGCGTGTTGGCCGGAGCATCCCATCTCAGCACTATACTCGTACTAGAGCTGCTCGCTACCCAACCCAGCTCCGGTTCCACAGGCGCAGTCGGTTGAGCGGTAGCCAGCAGTGTAATGCGATCACTTCTCGGCCCTTCTCCAGCTGCATTGATCGCTACAACTTGAAACCTCCAAACATCGTTGGGCGAATCATTCTCAACAAACGGACCCGATATTGACAACGACGTTGTGCTCGCGTTTAACGTGTCATTAGAGCTTTCATAGCTACCAGGGGAGTAATAGACCCTATAGCGTTCCAGAGGCGAGCTGCCGACCTCAGTCGGTGGATCCCACGTGATCGCTATTGTGTCACTCGCTTGGACAGCCGAGAAATCTCGCCGAACGTTCAGCACTTGGCCTGGTGTCAGCCAGTCGCAGCATGTAAATTCGGCAACACTTGAGGGTTCCGACTCGCCAACACGAGTGAACCAAGTCTGGGAAAATTTATAAACCCTTCCGTAGATGAGATTGTCGATCCGCACCATCGTCGAATTCGCACTGGTAGCTTGAAATACCGCATTTCGTAGTACGCTACCTCCTAAACCATCATTCCACGCCAACGTATACCCAATAGTTGGGGGCAACGTTGTCGAGCCACAACCGGTCGTCATCGGAGCCAACAACAAGACTGTTAAGCTCCCAGTCGTATCAACGCTGGACGCTGCAGTGAGCACTGGTGTCGGCGGTGTACCAGGAAGCATGCATGGAAATACAGAAATTTCCCGAGATGACCCTAATAAGGTATTCGAGGCTGCGAGTCGGTAGGAGTATGGCACGCTGTTGTTCAGCGCGGTCTGTTCGTAAGATAGCGTATCAGCCGTCAGAGTTGAGTTCAGCGTCGTCCATGTTCCTACGGCATCTTCTCTTCTCTCTAGAGCGTAGCTCACTATAGCGTCATTCCCATAATCAAAGGGGGGCTCCCAGACAAGTATAGCGACGCTCGTATTGAACGGGCTGGCCCTGTAGAAGGCACTCACCAGTGCAGGCGGCTTGTACACCGTCACCTGTTCGCTAGGATTTAGACCATCCAATTCCATGCCCGAGTGGAACAGACTGGTAGTCGGGATCGCATGCTTCGCAACACCCAAGGCCGGACAACTCCACGAGAGACAGAAACGGGCCACTCCGTCTCCATCCCAATATGAGATCTGTATCGGGACCATTCTTCCTGGTACCATGGATACTTGAGAGACCTCGTAGCTTCCGGCACTCTCCACCCGCAGTATCAGCCGATCTCCAAGCCAAATATAGGCGGCTTCATCGACCTCAACGTGCAGTGTATAATTGCACGCGTATTCAACCCGTAGATAGCCATCCCATTGCATACTAACATCGTCCAGTCTCTGTGAAGGACCCACCGTACCCTTGCCCCATTCAAGACACATCGACGGCTCTACGAACTCGCCCGTGGGGTATCCAGCCCAACCCTTTGTCGGCCAATACTTAGCATTCAGGCCTCCCTGTTTAGCAACAAAACATCTGACCTGCCAAGTGCCGCTATCAGGATACCTCGACATCAACTGCCAAACGTTGTCACCTGTCTGATGAACAAACAAGGGCTCTCGACTCGGGACGAGCCCTTCGACGTCCACCCTCGGCGCCGAGTTCAGGTCGATCCTTTGCGTTCCCTCGGCGAAACAGGCAACATCTATTGTCGGGTCCCCAGTGACAATATTATCAAATTCGTCCCGGGCCGTCAGAGTGATATTATACGACACGTTGGCTTGCACTCTACTCAAACCACTTGACGCTGTCCCGTGAAGAGAAAGATTCTTATTGAAATCGTAGTTCAGCTTCAACCACGGCTCGATGGGTGCAGCCTTCACTGTTATGTTCAAAGAAATATTAGTGCCTCTGACCATCACTATCAGCCCCGTCCATACCTGTGTCGCCGTAGTCTGAACGTAGCAATACTGCCACATGCCGAGTCCCCAGTATTTGGTCATTGGGCCTAGATTGGTCGTGGGTGGATCCTCCTCAACGTCCTCAGCTCCCTCCGCTATGAAGCCGTAGACGTTGTTCAAAACACTGTCTCGCATGGTGACATTAAAGCAGGCCTCCCGCCCAGCAAAGCACTCTGTCTGAGCTGAGCCTTCTATCAGCGTGTTCGAGCCCACCACAGCACTGGGAGATACCACGACACTGAATGGCGAGTCGACAATATCCTCCCACCTCTCCTGGTCAACCCACACCTGTACCCTCATATTCCATTGTCCAGCTATCCTCGGACTCATCGATACCACGTAACGCCCCCCAGAGGAGTATGTGAAATTACCATAGACGAAATTCGCGCTGCTTCCGGTCTCCTCAACGAAGACGCGGAAGCGACAAGTAGCGAGCTCATTGACAACACTAGTGTTCCAACACTCAGCTTGAACTGGGTCATCCGCTGTTGACCTCGTATTGCCGAATTTATCAATCGTTTGCATCGTGAAGGTATTGATCATCCCCGCAGTCATTTGAGACAGGCCCGCCCCAGCGGCAGTGCTGTTAGCCCAGGCCAGGCCTGGAGCCACAACCACTGTGCGCTGGTCCGTAGCCAAGACATTGAGGGGACCCAGGAGATACTTGGCAGGTATAGGATGCTTCGGAAAGTCCACGCCGGACCACGACAAGGTAACAAATGCACCACTGGTACTATGCTGGTACAGCAACTCCACAGGCACCGGTTCGTTCTCCGTCAAATAGATACTTCCCCAGGCGTAGACCGCTAGTCCGTCGATGTCGGCCAACTCCCATTTATCAACCAGTGTCACATGATTGACCTTCAGCCTTGCAGCGTAATCAGCATCAACATAGATCTTGAACGTACCCGTAGCATTCGGTAGCAGCCACCCTGTCCATCGAGCACTCCAGTAGTCTCGGGGCATATCATCATATGGCGCGACCCCTTCCCAAGCTAGGTCGACCACCTCCTGCCTAGTGTATGGGAACACCTGGTCATTGTAATGACGCCGATCACTGGTCAACGCGACCAGTGATTGCAGCCCAGTTGTGCGGAAGTATTCCCCTAGCAGACCCCCTGGTTGGCCTAAGTCCACCACTATGCTGTAAGAGCCTGCCGCCTCCAGAGTCGTATTGAACACATAGTCTCCCGACCTAGTCGTCTCGTATGAACCATTCAAGCGAAGAGCAGGGGTAGTGGTAGCAAAAAGGGGAGAATACTCCGCAATGAGATGGACATCAGTCGCGTTAATATGGTTCCTCCAGAAGTCCCTCGGGTAGCACTTCCAGACTGACCATTCACCAGCAATGTAAGTCTGCGGAATGTCGCACTGAGTGCCGTTTTGATTCGCGAACGCCGGTACAATATTCACTCCTGCCACCGTTAGGTTTGCCGAGTTCATGATCTCCTGACCATTCACAGTAACAACGAGCAGTACTCGGCGACCGATTGTCGGAGCACCCAACATCACCGTGTACGTCCCATTGCCATTGGAGCTGGAGTTGAGGCTTTGACCGTTCAGGCTCGCCGCAACACTGGCCGTACCGTTAAGTAGATTATTGGTATAATTATCTCGCAAGACCAGCAACGCCGGTTCGTACGTCCCCGCGACATACATTTTCTTCACGTAAAATAACTCGCAGTTTTTCGGGTCCACACTACCAGGGAGAACCTCAACCTGGAATGGTCCCTGGACGAGCTGAGCGCTCGTGTTGAGCGCTTGCTGCCGGGACACGTCAATTTTATCGACCCTTACCGAGAGGAACCTACCGCTACCAGCCAACCGCGGTGTTATAATGCAACGGAAAGCACCGGAGAGCTCGTGAAGACAAAGACCATAGTCGTAAGGCGCTGGGCCAATGGACACGGTTACTCCCACCTGAATAGATGGAAAATTTCGGAAATTATATTTTTCCAAAAAATTCACGAACGGTCAGGAAACTGATTCAGCAAGTAAAATTAGACTTTGGAAAATTCATGCTGAATTCTCAGAAAAGCAAAGACCGCAAACTTCCCTGGGTTAGATAATACTCCGTGAATCGATACAACTAAGTTTCTCCCTCCCAACTCACCCCTGCCTTAGGCTGTGTTATGATGTTCCCGAAGGTATCTCTCAGCTGCAACATGACGTTGACAGACACTCCGGCCTGAACCGTGCTCGGCGGGTCCACCGATTGCAGCACACTGGTCGGTCCAAACGGTGACGCCGAATTGGCCTCTCCCACGATGTCGTATGGGGAACCCAGAATATGCTCGCCGTCGAGTCGCACGTGAAGTCTGTTATTTCCCGCTCGTAAACTGGTGAATGTGAGCTCGTATACTCCCGCAGTCGTAGTTGCCCGAGCCGGCAAAGAAAGTTGAAAATAACGACCAAAGTCAGCGGTCAACTGCGGCGTGTCGTCCAGTAGTGTCAATGAGCTCGTCACTGAGTAGTTCTTCCATTCACAGTTCAGACTCAAACTGAAGCTGGACTCCTGAGATCGGTCCACCACGAGGTTGCCGTACACATCCTTGACCGTGAGTCTAACAACTTTAGGCACACCTGCCATGAAGTCTATGGGCCCAGCCAGACCGTCACTGACCACCGTCGTAGAGGCTGCAGGTGGTCCGGGGGACACGACCAAGGCACCTCCCGAATTGCCTATCTCCACACCGCTCGACTTGATCGTCACTGTATAGGTACCGACCTTGGTCAGAAGATAATGAACTGCGTAAAGACCCACAGATTCATCCAGGGGAGTCGAGACCACCGAAATGGTGCTCCCACTGTCAACCAAATCCACCACAAAGACCGCCCCATTAGAATCGGTCATATTATTGCCCTCAGTATCTTGAGCTTGGATATAGAACACACTCGGGAAGCCAGCGGTCGTCTCAGTGAGTTGATCCCCGTAGGCAAAGCAGTTGCGAGGGAGCAGATCGCCGACCGTAACCTCGATCGCGATAGGCATGCCCGTGATCACAGGGGCCCGGAACATTCTAGAGGACGGTATAGGCTCCTTGACTTGGGAAAAGGAACTCCAATACAGCTTCATATGAGCCTCTCCAGTGAGCTCTCGGTACTCTAGTCTAATGTAATGGTAGCCGCCAGCTGTGAGGACGGCTTTACCCCAAAAGCCACCACAACAGATATTCCACTTGTCGAATAGGAGCACATCATCTACCCACAACCTGACCATAGAGTAACCGACAGTTGTTTCAACTCATCAGCGAGTTTCGGCTAAATGAGATGAAACTAAACTGTCTACAACAATGTAGGAGCATATGTACATGGTCAACTACATGCGTCGCTGACAATACGGAAATTTTTGAGGAGATTTTGGGAAATTTTTATCGGTTTCTGTAAGTCCTATTCTAGTTCGTATACAAACTCTTATAATCAGCGCTGAATCTCCAGAGCTAACATATATTCCTCCAACACTGGTCCGCGACCATCCAAGCTGTTGACCCGGAGGATGTTCACCTGGCGTTATCATCAGCATCAACATAGAAGGTGTAGTCCTCTGAGAACTCCGCCTGGATAAATCCAGTCCACCGAACTGATACAAAGTCCGCGGCATAGCCCGTAAGGTCGCCTCTCTCCCAGTCAAGTATCTAACATGGTGCTCCTATGGTTCAATTCAGAATTGCCCAAGGCGGAAATTTCTCAGGAAGATTCATTCTTGGGAAGAAAAGGAGTCATCCAGCTTCGAGAGATATCGTTTCCTGGAGTTTGATAACAGTGGAGGAAAATGTTACTAATGTGACGACATTTACATGGGAAACTGATTGAAGAATGTGTTCCTAGACATACGTGGGAAAAGATCTAAATGACTTCTCTCCGGGAACATTATAGGTTCCTGGATGATTCTTACCATATCTGGCTGCTGTTTGGTCTCATGAGGCACACCATAGAGCCACTGATTATCCCAGTACTGAGCCTGTAGACCACCTCGTTCGAGACTTCGAATCACCATAGTATATCTATGGAGTGTATTTTTTCTTAGGCAAATTCAAAAAATCTGCGTTTCTCGTTAACGAATGAGAGTTCTGAGCTGAAACTTTAACAAAGTATAGATATGATGATTAACTATCATATACTAAGATGATACTGTAATATTCATACAGTACGTCTGTTTGGGATGATCGAGTACGTCGTACTCAGTACGACTATGTTAGTCGGTATTGTCCCAGTAATCTCGTCTATTTTCTATTGCATAGTCAATCTTCGTGTCACCGAAGCTGAAATTTTGTACAGTGCGGGTCAATATGATATGCAAATGTGGAGAATGTGTGGTTCCTGGGATTTACGATAGTAAGCAACTTGTTGCTACCATAGCCTCGGAGACTAAGTCTCCAGACATGACCACTATCACAGTATATGTTCATAGCAATATTCACGTTGTTTATGCGATGTAGTTTCAGATCGGATTTTACTAATCTCAGAAAATAACCTACATTTTTTACATTTGCATATCAAATTGACATGCGCTGTATATACGCTCGCTTAGCTGTACTATATTGACTGGTTTACCTTCCAACGACGGTCGGAGTGTAGTAGATGCTGTATTGTCCGTTACCACTGTCACTACTCCACGCCGTTATCGGTGCCATGCCGACAGGAATCGGATCAGGCTGAGTAGTGTAATTCGCATCGCCGGGAACCAGTCGCACCTAGTGCTCAAAAGGTCCCCGGTTCGATCCCGGCACACGACATAAGTCTACTTCAATGGTTTTTGTGACTTCATCCAGCTTACTCGGGTTCAACAACCGTAACACGAAGAGGCGGCTCCCATACTGAGTACCCGAGAAGCCCGTGAGCTCATTGGCACCAGACAGGGGGTCCACCGCTTGCACTACCACCTATGGAGACCAGTGTTGGAGGAATATACGTTTGACTTCCCCAGCCTCCTCGCTGAATATAGAGGTGTACAGAAACCAGCAAGAGTTCCTCGGAATTTTCATACTGTCACCAACACATGTAGTTGACCATATGCATATTTTCCTCCCACAATGGGCTCATATTGTCCCACACATACGCCTATTATTAAGAACCTTTCAAATGGCGATATAACCATAACGCTAGCGATGCCTTGATGTTCGAGACCGGCACGTTAGGATGAGCTCACCTGATTGCTGATGCCGGCTTGGACCACATTCGCATAGGACATGACGGTACTCTCAGGCACGGCAAAGACGTTCTTCAACATCACAGTCACCTCCGATGGGATGATGCTGGTACCGACTCTATTAGTGGCATAGACGCGAAAGCGATATGATATCGGGCTCGATAGACCGCAGAATACTTGAGAGTAAAGGTTGGGGTTCGCCACACACGGCAAGACCACTATAAAGTTGCCATCAGCGTCCATGTCTCGGGTCACCGAATAGCAAGTTATTGGTGACCCTTGAGGATCCGGAGCCGACCAAGACAGTTTAATACAGTCATAATCGTATTTCGTAAACACGGTGTTCTGGACCGTCCACACTGGCAACCCGGCAGCTGCATAGGTGACAATGTCAGAGGCCTCGCCAACTACACTGCCCCCAGAGGCGGTGCCCTCGCAGTAGTAGCGGCAGGTGACGTCAGAGGTGAGACCAGTAGACGTGACGGTGTTCCCACAAGGCGCATCGAGGATCATCGTGAAGGCGCTCCCTCCGGCACAGTCGTCTTGATAGATGCGGCAAGCCGTGGGGGATCCTGTTGGTATGGGATCGACTTTCACCTGATCACAGTGAATCTATCGAGAAGTGGAAATGGAGTGGTAGAGAATGCGAGGATCGCGAGTGTTGCCCACCTCAATGACCCCAGCAGTTGAGTTGACCAGCACTGGCGGACTACACTTGCCGATCGTCTGAGCTTCTACAGCTCTCAATGCATAGATGAGTACCATAACTCGGCCGATCGACTTGATCATTCCACGATGGTATGCAATTGAACGTCGAATGGTGTCGTGACAGAAAAAAGGTCAACACGAATGACTAAACTACTCCAACAATTCGCCTACAGTTGCGGTGCTGCAAATAAACATGATTCCAAGGAGTGCCACTCGGGAGTGCCTTTCATTGCAGTAGAGACTTTCAGTCGTACATACGTCTTCGTCGTTGTTTAGATAACTTCAACCTCACTACATCCGTACACCTACGTTGTTATCGATCTTGTTCGAAGTCTATACTAGAATTATAGTTATAGTTAGTATACTATCATAGCATAATTATAGTTTGAATTATAGCTTCGTGTGTAGACTCAAGGTGAGCAAGTCGGAAGTACGAATTCGATACGAAACGATCATACTCGCCTTCCGAACTTTCATCAATTTCATCATATAATCTTCGAAGGTGCCAAAAATTTCAGTCACATGTTATAAGGACTCCCAATCTCGACAGTTGCTCATTCGAACACACCATGCAGTTAGGAAAGCGTGGACCGAATCTCCTCCAACCATTGACGGTCGGTCCGATCCTATAGCCTCGTGCTGCACACTAATGATTTGCCACTAGATCTTCTGATGGCAATCTACCTTGGTATGACTAACACAACAGAGTGCTATAGGAAACACCTCAACGTTATGAATCAACAGTCATGAACTTCCACATCTCATGCTTATCAGGCTGATAGCCAGCGTCATTCACAAGACTAGTGTAGTGGAAGGCCTTGCTCCAGTGCATGTTCGACTTCACTGCTGATGGTTGGACGCAATAGATGTCAGTCCCCTTCGGCCCAGCATGGGGAAGATACCTATGAGCCGTGGAGCACAGCAATAAGAGGGCGACCGACTTGCCGATGAAGTGGGGTCCGTAGACTGCATATTCCAACATGTGATTAACGCTAGCATTGTGGCCAGGCGATGGTGCTCCTACTCGCAAACCAACTTGGAGAGCTTCCTACAACAATGTGATGCAAATTTCAATGGAATCAAACGAATCAATGCCAGTGTGAAAAAATACGTCAACATTTGCTGGTGATACTATTAGGAAATTTTAGGAGATTCTTGTTGATTTCTTTATACCTCGAATTTATACGTAACCCTTTTGTAGTAAGCGCTAAAACTCCTTGCGCTCAGCTGCAGAGAGCGAACATATATTCCAACAACACTGGTCACTGCTGAGCATTGGACCAGCCCGAGTGATCCTTACAGATCCCCTCGAGAGGTCAACACTATTGCCAGATTGAGAGTCGTTCGTCACAACCCATCGCTTCTGAGGCGTAATGATATCAATCGTGCCCGGGTCTTGAGAGCTCTTCATAAGAACAACACTCGTTGGTGACACTGGTTTGACGAACTGTAACAAGCCGGTACAGTCACCACTCCCATCGAGGACCTGAACATGGTCAGAGAGCCCCCTTCCTTATAAATATCAGTGACACTAACAAACTGACAGCGCTATTTCACTGCTGTTTTTCGGCTTACTCCCATTGCAATGTATCATCGGTGATAGTTGAGAATAATTTTTCGGGTTTACGTTTTTCCCTGAATTTTCTGTTCTAGATTTTCCTTCACTTTTGTCATGTTATGGTATGGTCTTTATAAGTGAATTAATTTCTTCAACTAGAAATACTACCATGTTATTCTCTCTAATTCTACCTACTACCCAACCTCTACCATAAACTGCTCAACTGTAAGCACTAAGAAAAGCAACGAATATGGCGTTGACATCACTTGATCGTCAGTGCTGAATAGAGGTTGGCCGCTGATGTAATCAGAGTATACACCGTGGATGCCGGGGACGCCTCTCAGAGACTTTGATAGCATTGGTAACGCCCAGTGATCATTACTCATCCTAAATGATAGCACACATGGTCTGAAGACCCTTCCCCAGCGAGAAATCTCGACGTTGAAGGCAGTGCGAGAGTGGTAACCTTACGGTGTATCAACATCAAAACCGAGAAGAACATTCCTGGTCTGAGCCGGGAGGCCGGCAAAGATCTCCGCGGGGGACTTGTCGGGCAGTCGATGGGCAGAGGGCAGCTGCATGATGCGAGAGTGATGGGAGATAGGTGTGTGGGAGAATAGCATTGAAGGAAAGCCCGCCAGAGTTGTAAAAACTTGGTGGTTCTTTCCGTTTATATATAATAGTAATAACTGAATAGTATAATGGAGTTTCACAACCCGTTTTACGCGAAGTGGCGAGATACTCGGTGAAAAACGCGATATTCGCGGAGATATGCAGTAGTCGTGAAATATGTTTTTCACTAGTGTTTTTCATACCACTAGGGTGGTGAAACTCCATTTTTGTATTTATTTTATATTATCCCGGGCATCAACAATATATATTATTATGGTAAC